CATACATTGCTATTGGGAATGTAAATTGGTTCAACTGCTGCGGCAAACAGTTGGGTGATTCCTCAAAAAGTTAAACATAGAATTACCATGTAACCTAGTAATTCTGCTCCTAGGTATACACCGCTAGGTGTGTCCACCTCAGGTGCTCAAACAAGTTCCTGTGCATCCATGTTCATGGCACTATTCACAATAATCAAAATATTCACAGTAATCAAAAGATGGAAGCAACCTCAGTGTCCATCAATGGACAGATGGACGAGGGTATCGTGGGGTAGCCACAGTGGAGTATTATTCACCCATAAAAGGGAATGAAGTACTGACACAAGCCATTATGTGGGTGAAGCTTCAAAACGTGCTCAGTGCTGTAGCCATATGTGTCACTTTCTGTATGATTCCATTTATGTGAAATATCTAGAATAGGTAAATCCACAGAGAGAGAAAGCAGATTGGTGGTTGCCAGGAGCTTGGAGGAGGGGAGAATGGGGAATGGTTGCTTAATGGGTATGGGGTTTTCTTGTAAGGGTGATGAAAATACAGGGTCCAGCAGAGGTAGCGCCTGCTTGAGTGTGGTTGCTAGGGTCATAATATGGGTGTGATAATGTATAATTTTAATTTGCACATTTCACCTAAAATGTCATATGGTGTGCTCGAGTATGATATCGTTTTGTTACAGAATTACATGCTTATGATTTTGTGATAAAAGATTTTGTAATAAAAAAGGGGTGCTATTTGTGCTGGACTCTATTTTGGTACCACATAGAGGCAGTGGTTGTACAACATTGTGAAGGTACTAAATACCATTGAATTGTTCCTTTTAAAAATGGTTAATTTTTATGTTACGTGAATTTCATCTCAACTTTTTTAAAAACTGTGGAAAACAAAGCTTTCATGGATTTCATAACCATAATTATTGGTAATAATAGATGCTTGGTTGATACCAATGTGTCAGGACACTGTTGTTGAGAATCATTGGCTATAACCATCTCCCAAGATTACTACCTGGCTGGCTTCTTTTTTTTTTTCTTTGCTTAATTTCTTCACATTTTTCACCCAGCCCTCCAATCCCCTGCCCTGGGACAGCTGTCTCTTCTCTGTTGATGAGTCTGTTATGTTTCTTAGTTTATTTTGTTCATTAGATTCCACATATGAGTGAAATCATATGGTACTTGTCTTTCTCTGACTGGCTTATTTCACTTAACATAATACTCTCCAGGTCCATCCTGCTGTTGCAGAAGGTAAGATTTCCTTTTTTTACAGTGGAATAGCATTCCATTGTGTAAATGTACCCCAGGTTTTTTTAATCCCATCTACTGATGGGCACTTGGGCTGCTTTTAGATCTTTGCTATTGTAAATAATGCTGCAATGACCACAGCAGTACTCACATTCTTTCAAATTGGCGTTTTGGGTTTCTTTGGATATATTCCCGGAAGTGGAATTGCTAGCTCATAAGGCAGTTCCATTTTTAATTTTTTGAGGACATTCCATACCATTTTCCACAGTGATTTCACCTGTCTGCATTCCCACCAACAAAGGTGCACAAAGGTTCCCTTTTCTCCGTATCCTCACCAACACTTGTTGTTTTTGATTTATTGATGACAGCCATTCTGACTGGTGTGAGATGATATCTCATTGTGGTTTTGATTTTCATTTCTCTGATGACTAGTGACATTGAGCATCTTTTCATATGTCTGTTGGCCATCTGTATGTCCTCTATGGAGAAGTGTCTATTCAGGTCCTTTGACCATTTTTAAATTGGATTGTTTGTTCGTTTTGGTGTTGAATTTTATGTTTTTATAAAATTGGGAAATTAACCCTTTATCAGATATACCATGGACAAATATATTCTCCCATTCAGTGGATCGTCTTTTCATTTTTTTTTTATGGTTTTCTTTGCTGTGCAAAGACTTTTTAGTTTGATGTAGTCTTAACTAGTTTGATTTTGTTTGTTTGTTTGTTTGTTTCCTGTGCCTGAGGAGATATATCAGAAAAATATTGCTATGAGAAATGTCTGAGATTTTACTGGCTATGTTTTCTTCTAGGATTCTTAAGGTTTGAAGTCTAACAGTTAAGTCTTTAATCTGTTTTGAGTCTATTCTTGTATATGATGTAAGAAGGTATCTAGTTTCATTTTGGGGGGCACATATCTAATTTTACTAACACCATTTATTAACTGGACTGTCTTTACCCCATTGTATGTTTCTGCCTCCTTTGTCAAATATTAATTGACTATATAGGCATGGGCTGATTTCTGGGCTCTCTGTTCTGTTTCATTGGTCTATATGTCTGTTTTTATGCCAGTACCAGGCTGTTTTGATTACTGTAGCCTTGTAGTGTAGTTTGATATCAGGTAGCATGATTCCTCCAATTTTGTTCTTCTTTCTCAAGATTGCTGTTGCTATTTGGGGTCTTTTGTGGTTCCATATAAATTTTCGAAATATTTGTTCTAGTTCTGTGAAATATACCATTCACCTCTTGATAGGAATTACATGAAATGTATAGATTGCTTTGGCTAGCATGGACATTTTAATGTTAGTTCTTCCTATCCATGAACACAGAATATGCTTCCACTTACTTGTATCCTCTTCAGTTTCTTTCTTGAGTATCTCAATTTTCTGATACAGGTCTTTACATTCTTGCTTAAATTTATTCCTAGATATTTTTTTGATGCAGTTGTAAATGAAATTGTTTTCTTAGTTTCCCTTTCTGATAGTTCATTATTGGTGTATAAAAAGGCAACTAATGTCTGGATATTTATTTTGTAACCTGCTACTTCACTGAAATCATTTATCAGTTCTAGTAGTTTTTTGGTGGACTCTTCAGGGTTCTCTATCATACAGTATCCTGTCATCTGTAAAACTGCCTGGCTCCTGGTTACAGCTTCTCCTGGTGGCTGAGGGCAGGACATGTTGGCCAGGGATTTCTAACTCAGTTGCCTTCAGGGGCCCACCCTGTTGGGATCACTGTTTGAGGTCAGCTGGGTGTAAGACAGCAGGGAGTGGTGGGGATTGGGTGAAACGGAGCTGGACGTGAACTATCTGTAGGCCTTCGAATTCAGACCCACTGCTCCAGACTGATTCTTGCCCCATCTCCATCATTGTGCCATTTAAAAAAATCATCTTTAGTAAAAATCCATTTCCTGTAACAGCATCTAAACTTCTCTGCGTCCCTGTCCAGCACAGAGTATGAGGAAGTTCAGATGCTTCCATATGTCCCTGGAAACTCTAGTCTTCCTCTGCACTGCATCCTGCCCCAACCCACCTGGAGATTTAGGGTAACAGGACTAAATCCTGTTGCCTGTGGAAGGGGGAGGGTTCCCTCTGAAACTTTGGTTCAGTGTCGGCTCAGAGAGAAATGGTCAGCAGCTGGTGGTCCCTATTTAGAGGGAACAGTGGGCGTCTTTGGTGTCATTTTCTTTTGGGGTCAGCAACCTGAGTGCATTTTTGTCTGTGATCTCTGTTCAAGAAGGGGAGAGAGACACAGAAGGATCTGAAAAGATTTTTGTTAGATGACACGGAGAAAGGTTTTTTGTTTTTTTGTGTAATCTGCCCACGCATTCAGAGACCTGGACCTTTTGAGGACGATGGACGCTCAGGAGCTGCGTGTCAGAGGAGAGGGTGTGGAGGAAGGCGTCTAGTCCATTAGATCCAGGGAGTGGCTGGCACTGTTTCCTTTTGTGCCTCCAGCTCTGTAGCTGCTTGTAATCCCTCTGTACTGCTGGTTTCTGAGAAGCACCTAAGATTTAGAGATCTTTGGCCAATGTCCTTTCAGTATGGTAACAATTCAGTGGACATTTGCTGGGGTGGGGCACAGCAAGAAGAGTACAGTTGTGTGATTTGAGGGACCTGCCTAAGGCCCTTGCCCTAAAACTGACCCCCCTGACCCTCTCTCTGAGTGGCAGAGAGAATCTTCTTTCCTCCCTCGAAATCCTGTGCTCAACACTCTGAATCCCACATGCTCAGTGTCTGGACCACAAGTGATTGTGTTGGTCTCGGGCCTTACATCCCTCTTGTGAAAATGGAGGTTTGCCTTCCACAGATGCAGGGAGTTGGGCAACTGCCCCCTTAGGCAGAGTTCCTTGGCTTAGCTTACAGCACTGTCGTCAGTCATTTAGTGTTTTTGCCCGTTCAAGGGAGATTGGTTCCCACAAGGCCACCCTTGCCGTTGGCACCGTCTTGTGGGGGAGGTGACTGCCTCAGCTGCTCTCCTAGGAATGCCAAGGTGGCTCCCGGACCACGGCGCTTTGGTGTTACAACTTGGGAGACAGGGCACCAGTTCCTTTTTCCTGGGCCATGTTCACAGAGCACATCGTAGGTGTGAACATGTGTGTGCCCTCTGACCCTGTCAGCCAGTTCTTGATGGGTAGGGTTAAGTTCCTGGATTAAGGGGAAATCTCTTTGTCCCCTTAATGTGTTTTCTTAAGAGCTTAAATAAAGTAACTTAAATAGTTCATAGAAACTGTTCAGACACTGAAACCTTGAAAATCAAACAGGCACTTCCATTCCTTGCAGTCTGAGAGTGGTCATAGCCCATGGGTACGCTGGCAGACAGGGAGCCCAAGTAGCCTCTCCCAAGGAGGGTAAGCAGTGACCGCACAGCTCCTTTCCTAGGGCGTGAATGGGCTGCATGGTTTAAAAGAGAGAAGGCTCTTGGGTCAGGCTGCCTGAGTTTCAGTCCTGGCTTATTAGTTGAGTGGCCTTGGAAAATTTATTGAATGGTGTTGTAGTTCAGTTTCCTCTGTAAAACAGAGATGGCAACTGTACCTACCCTAAAAGGCTCTTGTGAGGGTTGGAGATAATGCCTGTCAAAGACTTGGCATAAAAATGGATGTGCTGCAGGTGTTTAAGAGATGGTGGCTCCTACCATCAGTCAGTCCGTGGTAGCTGCGTGACGGAGCCTGCCGGCGAGGACACACAGATGGCAGGAGGGCTCTGTATCTCGTGGTTTCCCTGTGATTAATGCAGACTCTCTGGTTTCTTCTGTTATTCCTTTCCTTGCCTAGTATTGATCCTCCAGAAGGTGGAGAATGGAGACCTGAGCAACAAGATTCTGAAGATCACTGATTTTGGCCTGGCTCGGGAATGGCACCGAACCACCAAGATGAGCGCGGCAGGGACATATGCTTGGATGGCACCCGAAGTCATTCGTGCCTCCATGTTTTCCAAAGGCAGCGATGTGTGGAGGTAAGGTCCAGAGGTGCAGGGTCAGTGTTCCCCAGGTCTGTTCAGCTGTGCACACGCTCAAGACTTGGAGAATTGAGGTTGCATAGACTCCCAGAAACCCCGAGTAGGTCTAAGTGACCCCTTCAGAGCAATCTACACTAATTCCCACATTGCCAGGGGGCAGTTTCCAAAGTCTTCATCCTCAGAAACCCCTTCTAGTGCTGTGGCAAGTACACATCTATGCAGGACCCTCTCTGTTGGTGATTGTTCCCCAGGGAAAATGCACACATTCTAGAGGCAAAGTGTACTCCCATCTCTGAGTGCCGGGTGGTGAGGGCACTCACTCACTCCTGCAGACCTTCACCAGGGTCATCCTGGCTTGCTTAGCAATAGTTACTCTTATTGCTGGACTGATAAGTAGCTCCTGGGCTGATAGGTGTTCTTTGTGCTGTCTCTTTTTTCTTGGTGGGCTGGAAATGATCACTTCCAGTTAGCTGGTTAACCTTTTTAGTCTGTTTGTTGAATGTGGATATAGAAATAGGAAAAGACAGGTCTCAAGCATGCCCCCAGAAATGCAGAGTCACAGACCAGCCACTCCCCTAGTAAATGTCAGCCCAAGAGGTCACTAGGACATGGACCTAAAATTCTTGTCCCCAGTGATGGGAGGAGCATCTACAGAGCGAGCAGGCATCCTCGTGGCTGTGAGACAGTGGCATCACCTTGGTGTGCAAGAGAGAGGACTACAGGTCATCACTGTACTTCAGTCTATGAAGTTGTTCTTTCCTGTTGTGTTGTAAAGTAAACATGGATATTTGTGTGTATTTTAAAAATAGCATTCTTGATATTAGTATTCATATACCATAAAGTTTACCCTTTTAAGAAATATGTCAGTGGTTTTTAGTGAATTTACAAAGTTTTATACCAATCACCATTGTTACTAGTTTCCTAGGACTGCTGTAATAAACTACTACAAACCCGGTGGCTTAGAACAATGGAAATTTATAGTCTGGGGACCAGAAGTCTACACTGAGTGTCAGCAGGGCCACACTCCCGCCAGACACTCTAGAGGAGACTGTTTCAAATAAGGGTTCTGAGTCTTAAGACATGGACATAATTTTCTAGGGCCACCATTCAACCTACTATAACCATTATGTTTTAAGAGTATTTTTATTGCCCCCAAGAGCAACATGACACCAGTTAGCAGGCATTCGCTAACCCATCCTGGCAACCACTAGCTTACTCTCTGCCTCTGTGGGGCTATTTTGGACATTTCGTACAAATGGGTTCATATCATATGTGGTCTTTTTTGACTTGTTTCTTTCATTTAGCGTGCATCCATGTGTCAGAATGTCATTCTTTTAATAGGTGAATAATATTCTATTTATGGATGTACCACAGTTTGTTCATCTACTATTCATTACTTGATGAACATTTGAGTTGTTTCCACTTTTTGGCCCTGGATATTAGTGTACAAGCTTTATGTGTGAACATGTTATCAGTTTGCTTGAGTATATACCGAGGAGTGAAATTGCTGACTCACATGGTAATTCTGTGTTTACCTTTTTGAGGAACTGCCAAACTGTTTTTCACATTGGCCATACCATTCCACGTTTCCAGTAACAATGTATGAGAGTTCCAGTTTCTCCACATGCTGTTCACACTAGTTGTGGTCTGTCTTTTTGATTATAGCCATCCTAGTTCATAGGAAGTCATACTTCATTGTGGTTTTGATTTGTGTTTCCCTAATAACTAATGATGTTGAACATCTTATCCTGTACTTATTGGCCATTTTAAATGTTCTCTGGGTATATGTCTATTCAAATCCTTTGCCATTTAAAAAATTAGAATACATACTTTTTTATGTTGAAATACTTCTGAAATACTTTTATATACTCTAGACACAAGTCCCTTATCAGATATGATTTGCAATATTTTCTTCTATTCTGTGGGTTTTTTTCCACTTTCTTGATGGTATCATTTGAAACAAACATTTGTAATTTTGATGAAGTCCAAGTTATTTTGTCTTTGATTGTTTATGCTTTTGGTGTCATATTCAAGAAACCATTGCCTACGCCAAGGTCATGAAGATTTATACCTATTCTAAGAGTTTTATAGTCTTAACTCTTAAGTTTAGGTCTCCATTCCATTTTGAGTTAATTTTGTGTGTGGTGTGAGGTAGGGGTCCAACTTTATTTTCTTGCTTATGGCTATTTAGTTGGAGAGTATTACTGTCTTAATATTATATTAAGTCTTTCAACCAGTGAACAGGGGATATCTGTCCATTTATTTAGGCCTCTAATTTGTTTCGAGGCCAATGATATTTTATAGCTTCTGTATATTAAATCTTATTTCAATACACATTAAATACAGGGTGCAGTAACCATTGTGAAGAAAAGAGTTTTCCTTTACTTAAAATCTCTGACCAGAGCTCATTAGATTGATCTGTATACTGACACTTAACTGTATTTGACCTACAAAAACAGCGATTTCATGTGCTTCAAGCTAATACTTTTCATTGCTTGTCCATAGGCTGATATGAGTAGTTAATAAATTAACTAAACTAAGCTGCTATTACAAAAAGCCTGCAGATATGGCGGCTTAAGTAAGGTAGAAGTGTATTCCCTTTAAGGAGTAGTCCAGTTAGTCCAGGCTGGTGGGGCAGCTATACCCTGTGAGATCATTTGGGAGCCCACGTTCTTTCAGGTCCCTCCATGTGTTGCCCTTGTCTGATGTTTACCTCTGAGTGACTGTTACTTCTACATGATAGCCTGCAGAAATTGGGAAAGAGCGCTTATGCATGGCAAGCAGTTTGTCTGTAATTTGGAGATGACCTAGAAGTTGGGCACCTCTCCTCCGTGCGTACCCACACTGCTTGCTTTGGGTTATCTGGGCACATCTGGCCCCAAGGAGGCAGACGAATGTCGGCTCCAGCCAGACACTGTATGCCCAGCTAAACTTCTTACTATGGAGGAAGGAGAGAATGGATTCAGGGGAACACTCAACCAACCACTTGCCACACTCAGCTTCATCTTACCTTTTTTCTTCATGGGAAGACATGACTTCTTAGGAACATGATCGTTTTCTACTTTCTGTGTTCCTGCTAGCCTCTTCTCCCAGCCTGACCCTGAACTCATTCAAGTTTTCTTGTCACACATTCCAAAGCTTTCTGCTGCTACAGTGATTTGAGCAGAATTGCCTCTGGTATCCAGGTACATTTTTAGTGGGAAGGAAAAACCCAAAATGCCTAATGTAGTATCTTCACACAGTGAGAGAAATGGCAGGTGAAAAAGGGCAAGGCCGTTGCAGGGTTTCGCCCATTGTGGAAGGAAAAGGCAGGACCTTCAACTTTTACCCAAAGTGTCCTTGTTCCAAGATAGACCTCTAGGTCTTGTCCTTAAACTACAGGTCCTGAAAGCACGCTTGAAGGGCCTCAGGTGAGAGGCACTGGTGATGTTATTCTACTCCCTGAAGAGAGTAGGTTAGAGGTAAACTTCAATCAACAGAACTTTGGATGAGATGTCTTAGAATTTGTCATGTGGTCTGCTCTTCCAGTTGGTCTCTAGGTTAGAATTATTCCAGGACTTAAGCTTCCTGACTCAGATTGGTTGATGAATGTGGTTTGAACATATAATTCACCCTGTTCTGTTTCAGCTTTTTGAGCTTCCATGCCGCAGTATCTCCTTCCAGGACACAGTCTATTGAACCCAGTTAATGGGCCTTTGATCCCTCCCTCCTCCAGCCTACTCATCCAAGGGGCCCCAAATAATCTTGCATCTTCACCAGAAGAGAACCTGTGTCTGTTGCTGTTCGTGCAGTGCACGTACACTGGTAACAGTGTTTACCGCCTGCAAATGCTTACAGCCTGGCTCTGTGCTGAGTGCCGTACCTGTTTCATCCTGTTTTGCCTGTTATGTGGGGGTTGAAATGCAGTTTTTGATCATTATAAATTTTTAAAATTACAGTGGTAAAACGTGTTCACGATAGAAAAGAATTAGAAAATGTAGATAAACAAATGAAAATCACCCACTTCTAAAGATAACCTATATTGATATTTTGGTGTGCTTATTCCTATTCACATGCTCATCCACCCATCCTTTAAAATGGGATCTGTTTATTAACATACTTTTTCAATATAACATCCCATGAGCATATCAATAAATATTTATTGTCAGAAATATTAATATATGTATCACTCATATGTGTTGGTAAATATTGTCATCATTATGAAAGAGGTTTAGTTAACCACAAGAAGAATCATAGGTTACTTTATAGTTTACAGTGTTTTCACATATGGTAAGTTCAGTTGTCTTTGCCAAAGATAAACAGTGTGGTTCCTGAATGTGGGGTCGCAGCTGATTACTAAGTGCAAGAGCCCATTCAAGGGGCACCACTCCTTTCAGAGCATGGACCCCTGAGTTGACAGTTATGGCTAATAACCAGGTTATTTCTAATTTAGAGATAACACAGGTTTGTAAGAAAACAGTCCTGGTCCAGTTCAGGTGTACAGTTGCTGTGCCTCTGATACATTCCTTCTTCAAGTTGGAAAAAATAAAACATCCCCCCCGCCTTTGACCATACCAAACAGTGGAAAGGGTTCCTGTACCTCTGGAGGTGGCTAATTAACGACACCCGGGTGAATTCCATGAACGCTTGGGGTTAGGCATGAGGACCGTTGGGAAATCACTGGCGGGGCTGTGGGAGCTGCCAGTTCTCTGCGGGGGAGGGGCTCTGTGGCAGTGTTTGAGCTGGTACTTCCCTGCTGCTTGTAAATGGTCTTGAAAGGCCCTCTTGACCTTTTCTCAGTCCTAGGAGAGCAACAAAGTTGGCTAAGCCCGAGGTAGAACTGAGGGCTTCTGCCCACTTCTCCCTGCGGCTAAGACCCAACTAATGTGTGTTTCTCTAGTTTCCTTCTTGGACCCTGTTTCTGTGAAAGGAATACCAAGACTGCATTTGTATCACCTGCCTTCTGTTACAGAATTGAACAAGGACAGTGGCAGAAGAAAACCTTCACTGGTTTAGTTCCCAGAAGGCCGGTGTCCTTCAAAAAGGCTCTCTCTAGACACAGTGGGCTCTCCCAGACACTTTCTCATTTCAGGTCTTTGCCAAGGGGAGACACAGTGTTTGCGAGCCATAGACGGTCACTTCTGGGTGAGGGGAAGTTATTATATATTCTTCGCAACTCTCCGTGAGGGGTAGGGATGGTTGGTTGTCTTTGTTGTACTGACGAGGACAGTGAGGTTTGGAGACATGAACTTGCTTTCCCAAGGTCACACCACTGGTAAGTGGTGAAGCAGGCATTTCGCTCAAGTCTGTTTCAGTCTTTCTTGAGCAGCGGTTCTCTTATTTCACTTAGTTGTAGAGCCCTTCAAGCGGAATGGAATGCTGAAGAGCAAAGAAGCAAGCCAGGAATGAGCAGAGCTGCCCCTTGTTGAAGCTGGGAGGGGTGGGTGCCTGGCTCCTTCCTTTCCCAGGTGGCCCGAGGCATCTCTGTAGGTCACCTGGGGCTCCATGTGAAAACTATCACTGAAAACCTCTTTGTGCGAGGACACGAGGAGGAGGTGTGCTTGGGCCTTGGAAGCACTCCACTGTCTTTCCAGGTGATTAAGTTTCAGACCCCAGTCATCTTTGCCTGGATGGGAGAGAGGGGTTCTTTGGGACTTGGCTTTTTATGAAAGTCCCTCTAACCTAGGGATCTAATCAGCAGTGCTGAGAATTCTTAGAGGTCACTTGGTAGAAGCTTCCCAGCGTGACCACTGTCTAGGTCACACTAAAGGTAGGCAGGAAGTATAATAGTGCCGTTCTTGGTGGTATTTGGGCTTACTCCGGGGCACCCAGCGCACCCTGCAGGACCACCTCACCACGTGCTCCCACACCCATCCACCAGCTCCCTCACTGGATGAGAGCCTGGGCCAGGCCCTGGGAATGCAGATTGGAAACTACTATCCCTGCCCTCTAGGAGCCTGTAGGCTGGTGAACAAACAACTACGATGCATGTCAGCCCAAACGAAGTCTGAGTAACACCTGGGGGTGTTAGGGAAGGCTTCCTTAGAGTATTCAATTGTTTCTATCAGCCTTACTCTAAAATCTGACTCCTTGTCTAGACAGGACAAGACAAGACTTGCAACTGTCTAGTAGGCTTTTATTCTGTCAAGGAACATAAAGAAAACAGTAGTATTTGGAGGGGGTCACTGAGGTAAAGCCATTGTCCAAGGAGACTGGCCAGGGCACACTGAGGGTCCATCTATAAGGATGCCCATGTCCAGTACATTGGTTGGCACATTGCTGCTCTTTGGAGCCATGCCAGGCCACTCAGGCTTCTTTAAAGGCGAGTTCATGTCCTTACACATGCTGATCCCTGTCTCTGGAGCACTGACTCTTCCCTCACTCAGCAGTCAAGGTTTAGCAGTCTCCTGCCCAGTCCTCTTCTGGTTTGGGTGACCCCTCCTGAATGCTCGCATAGTATCTCTGTCGTGACTCACTCTCTGTATTCTAATGGATGTTCTTTCTGTTCCTCTCACTAATCTCTTCATGGATTAGATCTCTGTCTTCCATCCTATATCCTAGTACCTGACTTTGAGCTTGATGCCTAATAAATATTTAGTAGATGTTTAAAATAAATGAATAAATGGTGGTGCATTTTAATCAAATCTTGAAAGACTATTAGACTATTAGAGGGAAAGATAGAGAAATGGTAGAAGGGTATTCTAGAGAGAGAGACTTGAAAGTCGGTCCGGGGTCTGCCATGAATTACTTCACGTACGCCCTTAAAACTGCTGCTAAGCTATCTAAAATGTGCTTTTCTCATCTGCAAAATGGTAATGAAACATCTTGCAGGTTTGTTGTAGGGATTCAGGATGATGTTCGTAAATGGCATAGCACCCTGTGCATGCAAGTTACCATGATACGATAGATACTGTGTTTGTTTATTTTTTAATTAATAGGACTTTCTGTTGGTTGTAAACTACTGATAGGTATTCAAATTTCTGAGGTTCGTGTTGAAAATATAAGGAGAGCCACAGTTCCAACTGCTCGTGGCCTTGCTTTTTCTTGTCTGACTTATTCCTGGAAGGATCAAAGGCTCCATAATTTTGTCTGGTTCTGATTGTGAATTTGTAAAATAATTATTCCATTAAGCTTTGTGACTCCCAGGACCTGTGAAAAGAAATTCTGTACGTGGATTTGCAGGGGTGGAGGGGACTCTGAAGGCTCACAGCTGACGATCGGCACTGTCCCCTGCCACAGGCCACCCTGGTGAAGCTGTCCCCTTTGAATTAGACAGAGGTGTCGATAAAGGACTCACTGATGGGGGCAAGAATCTATTCAACCTAGTGGACAGTAAAGAAATTTTTCACAGGAAAAAAATCTGTTTGTTTGAAGAGCTTAGCACTCTGCTTTTCTAAAGCTAAAAAAATATATATTTGAGACAAAGCTGAAGTTTTTTTTTTAAAGATTTTATTTATATATCTGTAGAGGGGAAGGGAGGGGGAGAGGGAGAGAAACATCAATGTATGGTTGCCTTTGCGCATCCCCTGCTGGGAACTGGCCTGCAGGGAACCGGCCTGCAACCCGGTATGTGCCCTGACTGGGAATCGAACCGCGATTGTCTGGTTTGCAGGCCCGCACTCAATCCACTGAGCTACACCAGCTAGGGCTGAAGTTTTTTTAAAAAAGAAAAAATGTATTTGGGGCAGGCTCCCTCTTCTCCCAGTTCATTACAGTAACAGTAACAACAACAAACTAGCCATGGTCCTTGAGCACTGATTTAAACACCAGAGCAGCTCCCTAAATTTCATGATGGTCTTGAGAGGCTACCAGTGTTATTGGCCCTTTACAGGTGAGGAATTTGAGGAACGGACTTTGAAACAAAGTGTGCCTGACTCCAGAGGGTTTGCTTTCAGCCGGTAGGCCACGTGGTCTCCCGTTTATAATACATTAGTGTGTCTATTTTGTTAGTCTCCCTACATGCTGGAGAGAATGTGGGATGCTCAGCAAGGCCCCCTGAGCTATTTCAGAGAAGTTGCCCCAGTGGGGATTACAGGGCTCCTGTCTTCTTCCTCTCCTTAGCTATGGGGTGCTGCTTTGGGAGCTACTGACCGGTGAGGTGCCCTTCCGAGGAATCGATGGCTTAGCAGTCGCTTACGGAGTGGCCATGAACAAGCTCGCCCTTCCCATCCCTTCTACATGCCCAGAGCCTTTTGCCAAACTCATGGAAGGTAAGTGATCCCTGGCCGGAATAATACTGGAGGCAGTTCACCTTCCCCTCGGTACTCTATAGATTCTGGCCAGATCTGCGGGATCGGTCACTTGAACAGGAGATGAAGAATCAGTCACTCAGGGAGGAATGCTGTTGGCAGTTGGAAGAGCTGCTCCAGGATGATGTCAGCACCCTGACACATTGATGTCTTGGGTGTCATGTCCCGTCTGCCCATCCCCAGTGACTGTCCATCTCGACTTAGTAACTAGAGCCTGCTGTGCAGTACCAAAAGCGGCTTTCAACCGATGTGCCGCAAGATTTTTTAAGACATGCAATACCTGCTATTTAGTCAGGGGCACTGACCTCCTTTTCCTTAAATTGTCAGATAAAACAATAACAGCCAACACAACAATAGCCGTCCAGTGTGAGTGAATCAAAATTATACTTACTTATTTTGTCAGGCAAAAAAATATGTTTTGGTGGGCCACAGAATTTTAGTAATTAGTTTATGTGTGCCATGAGATGAAAAAGGTTGAAAATCACTGTAGTATTTTATTGTATGGTTACTTAATACAAATTAAGGACATATAGCAGGTTTTGCTTCAGGACCTCAGAGTGCCTTACATATAGAAATAAAGAGCATTTGAGAAGAAAGGAACTCTAAAAGACATGTAGTCAAATCCTATACTCTTGCAAGTGAGAAATCCTAAGTTGAGAAAGGCGAAGTGGACAGGATAGGTAACTAAAGTCCATTAGTTAGGGCTGAGCTGAGAGTAGAAAGAATTCACTTTTCCCAACTCCCACTCCAGTGCTTGGGGAAATTGAGTCCCAAGGTATAGTTACCCATTGTGAGGACTGGAATCATGAGTAACTTGCTAAATTGTGGTAATGAACTTCACACAAGGGAACTTTGGACTTGCTTTTCTTGTGCTAAATCCACAGTAACTGTTGGATGGGTGCAGAAGGGCTGCATTTTCTTTTCAAACTCACTCTTGATGATCCTGATGTTGAGCACCTCGCTTTACTTCCTAGGTCCAGTTTATGGACCTAAATCCCAGTCTCTGTTTCCTGAAGGAAAAAATGAGAGATAGTTTTCTGGGAAATGATGTCACACAGTATCCTAATCTTAAGTTTGCCTGTGTCCATTATGCTTTTTGTCTGTTCACATGTTGCGTGAAGATTGCTGGAATCCTGACCCCCATTCACGACCATCCTTCACAAATATCCTGGACCAGCTAACTACCATAGAGGAGTCTGGTTTCTTTGAAATGCCCAAGGACTCCTTCCACTGCCTGCAGGATGACTGGAAACATGAGATTCAGGAGATGTTTGACCAACTCAGGGCCAAAGAAAAGGTAAGAAAAGAGATAAAGGCATGCACTGAGTCAGTGAACCTCCCCTACTGGGGCCTCTGGACAGATCCTGGCACGGCCACCTTCCTGCTTGGTGTGTGCTAACAGGGCAGTTCTTTCCCTCCTGGCTCTGCGTGGAAAGAATTCCCCAGGCCTCAGGTGTAACCTGAAGTTGTGTAGAATTTCTCTTTCTTTTTGGAATGTGGCAGGGATAAGTAGGGGGAGTCATTGGTCAAAGCTGTCCTTTGGAGCATGGTGTCTTCATTGTCCAAACTGGAGGGACAGCACCATTGGGCAAGTACCAGCATGGTATCTCACCTTCCCAGCTGAAAATATGAAAGGGTTCTGGAAAAGTTTCTTGGTTTTGCAGTGGACTTCTAGAGGTTAACCTGATAACAGGGGCAGACACTTCAATGTTGAGAACATTTGTCAGAACATCTTGCCAGTGTCTTTGGGTATCAGAATCAGAAATAGCATGTGGGCTAAAAATACAGTGGGTCTGAAAATGTTTGGCATTTTTCATGTTTTTATGAAAAGGGCCAAAAGCCCAAACCAACTGGGGAGTTCAGAGACGTAGCCAAGTAGAGATCCATCTGCTCGTTTTGGTGGTCATTCTTAAAGGGCCCTTCTCTATGCCCTCGGCACAGTGAGCGTCCACACAGGTGCAGCTAATCAAAGCAGCTGCACTGAGGAGGCAGGACTAAATCCAAGGGCTGCGGTGAGGGGTAGGAGGGATATCTATACATAGACTTGGCTAATTTCTTTTCCCCTTTCCACTCCCCACCACGGGAATTTGGGAAGCAATATGATAATAGTAGCAACTAAAATTATACATGTCTTCGTGATTTCCCAGTTCTTTCACTTGAAAGGTCTGATGAGACCTTTTCATGTGTTTTATCCAGGAGTCTTATGGCCCCTCCCACCAACATGTAGGGCAGGTGTTGTCTTTTTCAGCTTAGAGCTGAGGGTCAGTGACTTGTCTAGTAAGTAGGGGAACAACCTGGGTCTTCTGATTCCAGAACCATCCTCTTTCCAGTGTCATTATTGTTTCCCTAAACAAATGACTCAAACATAATTTCTGGAGCTGATTTTAAAAGATGGAAGTCTTTATTCAACATAGCAGTCCTAAACTTGGTACTGTTTGACAAGTCAACAAACCTTCTGCGGGGAATGGAGGGAGCTTCTGACGCATGCTTAGGGGTCCAGGGGGAGAGAGGCTAGACCTGCACTGGCCTGTGAGCAGGATGATTAAAACAGGCTGTTCCTAGTGCAAATGCTATTCTAAACAGAAGAACCACAGAGTTGCTGGGGTTTTTTTAGATTGTGTAGTCACTGACTGTTGGTTATTTCTTTTGATTGATGAAATTATAAGGGTACCAGCCAGTAAGAAAAATGAAAGCTGGATTTTTGTCAATAAACAGTTACTAGGAAAAGTCAAACCCATTCTCCTAAAAACTAACATTTGTAGAGTGTTCTATGTGCCATGGTCTGTTATAAGTCATTTATATTAATTCTTACATAATCATATGTAATAAAATAATAATTATCTTATGTGATACAACCCTGTAATGCCGGCGCTCTAACTCTGTATCACTGATGAGGCCCGCACTAAATTGCCCAAGGCCACAGTTCAGGCAGCCTTTGCAGGAGTTCTTGCTCTTAACCACCATGCTGTGGCACCTCTCAGTACAAGGCTCATAGCTGGGCAAGTGAGGATAAGATGAATAATGAGTTTTCTCTCTGGAGGGATTCCTCTTACATTATTGTATGTGGGAGATGTGAGTTGCATACTGTGAAGCTGATCCCTAAACAGGTGTTTCACAAGAAGGGGATTTACCATGTGTAAGGGTCTTCCAGGTATGTGATGCCATAGGTGAGTACTCTGTGAATGTCCTGGTTTCTTATGTGATTCAATTTATTCTTCAGGTTGGCTCAACCTCCTGCTCCTAGGTTCTGTGACCACAGATTGGTCTCTGGACTGGGGTTTGAGTTCCCTTGGAAAGGAAAGGGTTTGGACTCAAACCATCCCTTTCATAGGAGCATGCAGGAGAACGGACTTAGGAAGGCTGATGCTGTCTTGAACTGTTCAGTTTTCCCATTTAGCAGCAAAATCAACCAATTACTAATAACTTCTCTGAATCCTCAATGTGTTTTTGTTTTCCTGATGATGAAAACAAAGTAATGGAACAGGGAAGCCAAGGATCTGGAAGGTGTACAATTAATCCCTTTGGAGATTAGTTCATCAAGCTCAAAAGTTCAAGCTCATCTTGTAGATATTGATGATGAATCTATGTTCCATAAAGAAGGACTGCATTTATAAAAGTATCTTCTGTCTCCTTTCTCATTCATTCATCCATCCATCAACTCAACAGTTATTCTGCAGCCACTGAACACTTCCCGTGTACCAGACAGTTCTCTAGGTGCTAAACTTCTCCTCATTTCTCTTTTTTCTGTTACTTTTATGGTTATTTTGATATTCTCTTGAGAATGGAGGACAAGTCAAATGAAAACCTCCAACCTGCAGAATATTTTATTCCCATCACTGGTCTCTCTTCTGCTGTCTACCTGCTGCTCGGCTTCCCCAATCTGTGCTCACATACTTTTTTTTTACATAGCTCTAGGTTCCTTATCTACAGTATTTTGTTTAGTCCAGAATGATTTCTAGTGCAGCATGTCATTGAGAATTTTAAGTTTTGACCACAGAAGTGTTGCTCTGGCTTCTTATTAAAGAAACTTCCCACTTTTTAGACATGATTCTTTTCAGGTTATTGACATGAAAGCTTCTTAAATTTTCTCCTTTCCCTACCCCACTTCAGTCCTAGGCCTGGAGTACCCAGTGTTAACAGTTTAGGGTTCATATTTTAAAAGGTTATACACATGCTTTGCTCTGTTTCCTGTTTTCTGATGCCGTAGCTCCCACCTCTTCCCAGGAGTCCGTGCTGGGTTCGTTGATGAGTCCCTCACAGAGAGGAAAAAGGGGAGTCAGGGAAGAGGTTCGAGATCAAGTGCCTGGCACAGACGTCAGGAAATGTCCTCTCTTCTTTCTGCTGTGCTCTCCTGATCTTCCCAGGGCAAATGGTTCTCCTTTAAGATAGGTTGAGAGCTCCTAGCACCTACCTCGGTAGATTCACTCACCAGGTGAACCCCACGTGCCATTTGAACAGCCACACTGGAAGTCTGGTTACTTTTACTTGAATGTTAGGTGATGTCTGGAGGGTGATTGGTTTACAGTGGGCCCATTTTAAGCTAGATCACATTTGAAGTTACCTCTGGTTTAAAAATGATTTTCTTATTTGATGGAAAAAATTAAAATAAAATCAAGTCTGTAAAATTTAACTATATATTATATTTTCTACCTGAACCCCCATTTTTTCCTAAGTCACAGGCAATTTTAATCAGTAACCAAGGAGCAACTGGGAACTATCAGCCCCGGTGTGGCCTGTGGCTACTTGAGCTGTAACCTCAGTGTGGCTGTTCAGAGCCTTCCTTTCCCACCAACCAGGTGGTCAGGGGCTCATTTACCAGCTAACTAGCGTGCAGCCGTCTCCGTGGGGGACTTGATGTGTGGACACTGTGGGAGCCTCTCCAGGTTGGACCTTGCCCCTGGCCTCTGGTCCCTGATGGATGGCCCTGCCCCCACAGGAGCTCCGCACGTGGGAGGAGGAGCTGACTCGGGCCGCACTGCAACAGAAGACGCAGGAGGAGCTGCTTCGGCGCCGTGAGCAGGAGCTGGCTGAGCGGGAGATCGACATCCTGGAACGGGAGCTCAACATCATCATCCACCAGCTGTGCCAGGAGAAGCCCCGGGTGAAGAAACGCAAGGGCAAGTTCCGGAAGAGCCGGCTGAAGCTCAAGGATGGAAACCGCATCAGCCTCCCTTCCGGTGAGTGCCCAGGGGCTGCTGGGAGGCAGGAGCCAGGCAGGGGCTGGTGTGGCGGGGTGCTGGGAGCCAGGGGCAGAGCTTGGAAAAAAGGGACCCTGAGATTCAACAGGGAGCCAGCTTGGAAAGGGCCATTCTATTCAGTGGAAAGACTGGCCTGCTGGAAGCTACCCCACTCCGGGGGAATTTTTGAGACCTCGCGCAGAATATGAAGGGAGGACAAACTGGTGACAGACCTGACAGGCAAGCATGGGCCAGGCTGTTAGAAGCATGGTCCCTGGCTAGGCACACCCGGAAAAGGAAGCAGGTGATTGGGGGCAACACAGACTCCAGACTATGTACGTGTGAAGCAAGAGAACACTTGTCTCTGCAAAGTAACTCATCTCAAGAAGGATTAATGTATAAGAATTTGATTTACATATACCCTTTCAGAAACACATCAGCTGCGTACAAGTACATTTATGGTAGGCATACCCTTGGGAAAATGCAAAAAGAAAGAAACTGTGAATTAGAATCTTGTGGGGTACAGTGTACCCGCGAAAGGAGATGGGTGCTCAAGTGTGTATGTAGATTAAAGTCCTTAAGGCCCCAAGAAGCAAGCTTAATAGAAGTTAAGGAACCAGCCCTGGCCAGGTAGCTCAGTTGGTTAGAGCGTCATCCCCATACACCAAGATTGCAGGTTCGATCCCTGGTCAGGGCACGTACAAAAATCAGCCAGTAAGAGAGTAAGTCAGTGGATGCAACAAATCAATGTTTCTCTTACTCTTTTTTCCTCTCCTCTCTCTCTTTCAAATCAATTTTTAAAAATTAAAAAAAGGCTTAAGTACAGGCAAGGGAATTCATTTAGTGGAAGTCAGTGAATGTGTTCAGGGGACCCATTTACTGCTGTCCTTGCCGTACTTTTTTTTTCTTTTCAGCAAACAGGGTCTCTAAACACTTCCTGAGCATCCAGCATGTGCCAGCGTACTGCTGCGCGCCAGGAAAGCAGTAGTTCCCATCCAGGGAGAGCACGGTCTAGGGCACTGGTGGCAAACACAAGGCCCTCTGGCTGAATCCCGCCCTCCACCTTGTTTTAATCTGACCTGGTACCTTGTTTCTACCCGGCTGCAATGCCGAGCTCCTCACCCCTTGTTGGGGAGTAATTACATTGATACAGTCCTAAAATTATGTTCGTCCCTTTGAAGGCAACCGCAAGGCTGATGTGGCCCCCAGTGAAAATGAGTTTGACACCCCTGGTCTAGGGAGAGACTTAGGTGCCAACATGCAGCTGTAATTATTGTACCTGTCTGATAGGTGAGGAGAAGGATACTCCGACATTCAGAGCTCTAAGCTGTACATTGCTTGAGCCGCACAACTGCTCTGGGACTCAGAATGGGGCCCACTAGCTCCATGTCCCTTACTTCCCTGGGTTCCCACCAAGGATTAGTTCTTACTACCTACCCTGCTGCCTGTACTTAGTGAGAAGCGTTCGTCTGCCTTCTCGGGTCCCCTGAGAAGAGGGGGCGTGCACTAATAGATTATATGAAGAGGAGGATTTAAAGTTAGATTTCCTAGAATAATCAACTACTCTCGTGATCTAAAAAAGACTGTTCTGAATATGTAATTGCTACACCTGTGTGCATTTATGAAAACCGCCTAATGACTTTCACTCAGATAAGGAATTTCCCTTCTCCTTGTATGTTCATTTGCCTCCTGCCATCTTTGGGGGAAAAGAGATGGTTCCAAAAGAGACCATTTCCCAGTTGAACAAGGAGTTTCTCAGGAAATGAGGGCCTGTCCCTTCAGCCGGCCAGGAAGTGTCAGTTTTCTCAGAGGAATGTGATTGTGAGAAAATTCTAATGCAAATGCGTATGTTTGTCTTTTCCCAAACAGATTTCCAGCACAAGTTCACGGTCCAGGCCTCCCCGACCATGGATAAAAGGAAGAGTCTCATCAACAGTCGCTCCAGTCCTCCCGCAAGCCCCACCATCATTCCTCGCCTTCGAGCCATCCAGTGTGAGACTGCTTCCCAGATTAGTTGGGGCCAGAACACACCAGGGGCGCCTGTCCCCTACTCTGTCCAGCCACCGACTGGTCCAGGCTTGCGCCATCCATAACTTCTGCCACTTCTCCTCGACAATGTGTATATACATGCACATATGTACGCACCCCTTAGCCCTGCTCCATGTCTCCCTTCATTAGCTTTACTGCTGCCTCCTCTACCTCCTGCACTTAGGCAGAAGCCAGCAAAGGGGTCTGTAGGTATTGTGGGTACAAAGCAATTTAGAAACTAGTGTGTGATGCAGATACAGTTTGGTACCGTAGCCTGGACAGCTCTTGTGCTCTGCCATATTTGGGACACTGTTGTGTTTCTTTTGTTCATGCTTCCCAGAGAAGGGTGTTTTCAAAGTGTGGGTTCTAAGGAAACTTGCCAAGTATTTTACGATGAGTCAGATCTGGACCAATTTTATTGTTACAGAGGTATTTACTAAAAGAACTTATACATACACAACACATACATGTACATATGTGTGTGTATCTTTATGAATGAGTTAGTTTTTTCATCAAAAAAATCCTGGACTTCTGGCTTTTCTTGGAAATTCAAATGAAATCAAATCAGTGGATTCCCTTGTGCATGTGGCCATAGTTGGCTGGAACTAACTCATGGCATGTATGCTCTGTGTTTTGCCTTAGTTCCTTCAACTCCTTAGTTATTGGTAGCTGACTCACTTCACTCACTTATGTATAAGCCAAGTCTCTGAAGCATTTGGGTTGCAGCCCATGCTCTGAAGTACCAGCTTCAGAAGAATGTTCTTCCCCTCTTATCTATTATTATGTTTCTCTAGGCCTCTTCCTTCCCCCTGCCCTCCTACTCCTGACTTCCCTTCTCTGCAGTCTCGAAACCCTCATTTTCTTCCTTTCCAACACTTTTCTTACCAAAATTTCTACACTTCCGTATCTTCCTTACTCTTATCTTTGTTTCTACCACCCACCCCACAATCCAGTTCCACCCACTGAAACGAATTCTTTAAATCATATCTGTTTGAAGCTCTGAGCTCTGGCTGGCCCAAGCTCCAGCTTTATATCGGATTTATGAGAAGCTAGGAAATGTTTCTGTGTCTGGTACTTGGAGAATGCTAAATGATCGGTGGCTGAGAACGCCATTACTTTACTGAGAGGCTCCACTCGAGCACAGAGTTTTTGAAGAAGGCTAACTTCTTCCCAGGAGCTCCAGGGCAGGGGGAGGTGTGGGGTAGTGTGTGTGTGTGTCTGTCTTTCTGTCTGTCTGATTGGGTAGAGGCTAGTTTGGGAGGGCGGGGGCAGGGTCAGACAGAGTGCTGTCTGTTTCCAGATCCCATCTAACCTTTGTTATTCACAGTGACACCAAGTGAAAGCAGCAAAACCTGGGGCCGGAGCTCAGTCATCCCGAAGGAGGAAGGGGAGGAGGAGGAGAAAAGGGCTTCCAAGAAGAAGGGACGGACGTGGGGACCAGGCACACTTGGTCAGAAGGAGCTTGGCTCAGGAGACGAAGGGTAAGAGCCAGGTGATGGGGAGTTCTCATTTAAAGACGGGGCACCCTTTTAAAACTATGATGCGAAATACCTTGTTCTCTGTTGTATTTCACTTCTTTCTGAGAAATTATAAGTTTCTTGTTCTTTACAACCGAGTTTGCCAATCTCCTTTTCCCTGGAACCTTTTAGGACAGGGGTTGGCAAGCTTTATTCATGAAGAGCCAGGTACCAAACATTTTTGGCTTTGTGGGCCTGCTCAACTTCACTGTGGCAGTGCAGAAGCAGCCTCAGACCGTGGACAGGATGCAAGAGAAAAACAGTAGTGGGCAGAATCTAGCCCACAGTGAGTTGACCGACCCCTGGAGGTGTCCGCAGAGTAGCAAGTACCCTAAGCATGAACTAGGTGTACAGTGTTCAACCTGAGTATTGTACTTATATCCAGCTTTCCCCCTTAAAACATCTGTTCAGAGGAAAAAGGAAGAGTGGATTATGGGTCTCTCTTGACCGGAAGCTCATACTGGAGCTGGGGCAGGCAGAATAATCCAGCCCTGGTCAGAACTCCGGGACCACTGGGACTTCTAGGCCCCACCCCTGGCCACACTGACAAGTATGAGCACCCCCCTGGGCAAAGCACAGAGCACGTCTTGGTGCCTTAGATGTGCTTGTGTTCTCTCTGTGGCCTTGTAGGCTCCAACTCAAATTCTCTTGGTGTCTGACCTTCAGAGGCCAGTTACTGTAGTACAGTAGTGCAGAGCTTGGATGCTGACCCTGGCCTGCCTGGGTTCAAATCTTGGCTTCCCATGACTAGCTGTGGGACTTTATGTTTTCTTATAAATGGGGATTATATCCGTACCCATCTCATGGAGTTGGAGGAATAAATAAGTTCATCTTTGTGAAGTGCCAGAGAAGATTAGCCGGCTCATAGTAAGCATTTGCTGTGCTTCTACCTTCCAAATAAGTGTAAATATTTGCTTTGTGTCTTCCATGCTTCTAATGCAATTCAGTTTCATACCTAAAGAACAAACGTAATAGTTTATACTTCTTATACTTGGTGTTAGGATCTAGAACCATGTTTTTTTTTAATATTTTCCCTTATATGAATATAAGCAGCATTCAGCTTCTTTCTAGTGGCTTTCCAAAGAGCTTCTAAGTTGAATGTTAGGCTTATAGATGCCTTGAACCTATAATTGGCCTTGGCATTCCTCTGAACACTAAGATTTCATGTCCAAATTCTGTTTCCCTATGTCAGATGTGAGCCGAAGGTGAGAATAACTGTTTGCTCCCTAAAGAACTGACTACTGGAAGCCAGGCTTTGGAAATCACTAGAGACCTTGGGATAGAAAATGTAGATATGTGGGGCAAACTCCCTACACTGTGTGAGGATTCAGGGATGGAGCCCTCTGGGGAGGGCAGGTTGCTCCGCTGTGCTAAGTTCTGCAGGAGCTCTAAGCTACTGTCGCGGTGAGCGGGGTCGAGAAGGAGCTCAGTTACCCTGAATCCACGATGTTTCTGACATTAGTGGGATTGCAGATGAGACCTACCAGGTTGGCTATGGATCCCCATAGCTTCTGTGGTTCAGCCTCACTTAAAGGGCTTTTTTTTCTTGTCTTGCTAATAAATTTAAGTTTATTTTGCATTGTAAAATTATGAACTTTGGAATTTTCTTCCTCTTTACATAGATTTGCCCTCAAAACTTTTGAAGCTGTTCAAAAGTTGGGAATGATTCTCAATTTCCTCTTGAAGAAGTAAAATATATTCCACCCAGTCTCGAGTGAAAGACCTCTTTAATGTCAGAAGTTTGGAGAGCTTCTATAGGACAGTATTTCTAAATTTACTCCCTATTGGCTGAATAAAATGTGTAATGACATAAAGCTATGTTGAATTTAGTAATGTTAAGTGAGTTTGGCTCTTCATACTTTAAAAAAAAATGTCCACATTTGTAGGAAACATGTACTTGTCTGCAGATAGCTTGGTTATCTGTGAGTTCAGAGACTCCTGGAATTACACTGTGGCTGCTCCGGGACTGGTGTCCCAGAGACTGGGAGGCCCTGCCTGGTCTATAGCAACCCTAGCAGGGCCGTCTGGTAATGATCCCTTCCCTGCGTGAGCTTTGCTGACTGGGCAAGGGGAGGGCGGCTGGTCATGTGGTTCCAGTCCAGCCTTGAGGGGTCTCATGTGGGAGAGGCTGAGCTGGATGCCCTCACTGCTGCTCAGTGCTGATCCTCTTTATTCATTGAAGATCCCCTCAGAGACGTGAGAAAGCTAATGGTTTAAGTACCCCATCAGAGTCTCCACATTTCCACTTGGGGTGAGTCGGATTTCCCCCCTTTCAGATGTATTGGCAATACTCCCCCTTCCATTTCCTTGTTCTCACAGCACACCCGGTAGAATCAAGCCTCGTTATTGCCAGGCTGTGCTAACCTTTTTTTTTTTTTAATTAATTAATTAATTTATTTTTATCAGTACCATTGTGCACTTTGGGAAAATTCCTGTGTTGGTCCGACTTTACCTTGTTCTTCACTTCTCTGGCCCCTCCTGTTGTTGGGGTTCTCCTGGTGCCCTTAGTTTTAGGGAGATAGTGCTGGACTTTTTATCCTTTGGTCTGTAGGGCTGGCTCTGACTTTGCTAATCTGGATTTCCTTGGATCCAGAGCTGGGGGCTGTGTTACGAGATTACCAGTTAGAAGTCCCAGGCTAGGGATTTAGCAGCATGCTTATCTCTCTGGCTGTGTATTTTGGTTTGCACCACTGGAGTTTGGAATGTATTTTAATTCATTGGTATTTGTGATAGCACTTGAAACAGAGATCTGAAGTCAAGGAAAAAGTTGCTCCTTCTCTGTCCCTCATGATAGCCTGGGAAGAATGGACTTTAGGTGAATGGCTCTCTCCAGCCCTAAAATGAGAGCCACCTCTGGTTATAATCCTGGTATCTCTAAGGCAGCCATAGCATAGATTCCTGTCCTTTCTCTCGTTCTCAAGAGAAAAGACCAGTGCTTCTGCGCCCCCGATTCCTTCAGTTTATAAGGGGGTTAGTGACTTCCAAGTCTGTGTCCCGGAGTTGTTGGCTGGCTAGTGTGAGCTGATTACAGGGATTTGAAAGTGAATCCAGCCCCAGACAAACCAAGGGGTCAAATGTAGCCTTATCTGCTCCCCACATAGGTCTGTCCCAAAGTGCACTGGGTGGGTACAGCTTTGTTGGCTGAGTTTTGGTTTTGAAAGTTGCCTAAGCATGCCGTAAGCTTGGAGGGAGAAATCAGGAAATGATGGGAGTGGAGTGACCTGGTGCATCTCTGCTGGCTCGTCCGCCCGGCGCTTGGCTTGCATTGCAAGTTTCTGCATTGCAGTGTTTGTAATGTCACCAATGTGCTGTATTGGGTGCAAGACCCCGGCAGGTGCTGGGCGCTCTTACTCCTTCTGTCCTCTTTCCAGCCCGCCCATCAGATCCTCCCACAGCCCCAAGCAGCATGTGAAGGGGGGGGGGGGTCCTGCCACTGCTTCTTTCTCTCCGCAGCATGTGCAGTTTTGTTAATGAAGCAGGTGGGCTCAGTAAGGTTTGTTGCCTGTACCCCAGGGCTCTTGAGCTTTGATGTAATTAAGGCAGGCACATTTCCACAGATTCCTGAAACTGAGGGTGGAGGAAGGGAAGTAGCCAATATTAACAGTTTCCTCATTTTCCCTTATTTAGCCTCGAGTCCCTGGTAGATGGATACAAACAGTGGTCGTCCAGTGCCCCCAACCTGGGAAAGGGCCCAAGAAGTAGCCCTGCCCTGCCGGGGTTCACCAGCCTTATGGAGATGGGTAAGCATTGCCTTCGTCTCGACTTTGTCCCCATTCTTTCAGAAAGTTGTTGGCCAAGCTTCTAGACTGTTTAAGGCTCTCATATAACTTCATGGGGGTCGTCTCCTCTTTCACGTAGATTTCTCCCCCCCACCTTATTGCCTTTTAGTTTGTCCTATTCCCATTTCATTGAATCTTCCCAAAGCACTACTGTTGCCATGAAACCTGCCCTTGACTTTCTATCCTAAGGGGCCAGTTATAGTGTCCTTAGGGCAGTGCAGAAGCGTGAGGCCTTGAATTAGGCATTTCCCTTCTCTGGGTCTGTTTCCTGGAATTGTAGTGGGGAGTCCACAAAACAAGAGATGCTGGTAGAAGATACCACAGTCTTCCTCTTGAGGAAACTTTGTAATGTTGCCCCTGATTACTGAACCAGTAAGGTAGTCCTCTTATTTCTCTCTCTAGATTTCCACAGTCATAGTAGGTCAGTCTGTGGAGTAAATTGGCCTTCACTCATGTAGGGGATTCCAGTCCTTTGCAGGAGTCCAGTCCTAAGACAAATGTCTAGGCTATCATTCTACAAGTCCAAGGTCCCTTGCAATTCCAAGGTACAGGAAAATCAGGGATGTTTCTGTTCTATCCAATGCTCTAAACTCACTGTGCTTCTTGTGCTGAGGGTACCCGTGAAAGAAGTAGCAAGTCAGCAGTCCCCTCTCTGCAAATAGGGAAGCAGGCTCTGGAATGCAGAGCGATTTCTCGTCGGTCACAGTTGAGTGTCGGGGGGTAAAGCCCTGTTGGTTCAGTGCCCAGTCCTTTGTCCCACCAGTCAGACTTAGTGTACCTGACACTGTGCCAGGAGGCCTGGGTCTGGGAGGAAGGACCAGAATCTTTTTCTTGCTGCTACATTCCCATTTTTTATTTCCTGCCTACTCATCTCATCTTTACAGAGGATGAAGACAGCGAAGGCCCAGGGAGTGGGGAGAATCGTCTACAGCATTCACCCAACCAGTCCTACCTCTGTATCCCATTCCCTCGTGGGGAAGATGGGGATGGCCCTTCCAGTGACGGAGCCCATGAGGATCCCACCCCTGTCAACTCAGCCACTAGTACCCCTCAGCTGACGCCAACCAACAGCCTCAAGCGGGGTGGCACCCACCACCGCCGCTGTGAGGTGGCTCTGCTTGGCTGTGGGGCTGTTCTCGCAGCCACAGGCCTAGGGTTTGACCTGCTGGAAGCTGGCAAGTGCCAGCTGCCTCTCCCAGAGGAGCCTGAGCCACCAGCCCGGGAGGAGAAGAAGAGGCGTGAAGGTCTTTTTCAGAGGGCCAGCCGTCCTCGTCGGAGCACCAGCCCCCCATCCCGGAAGCTCTTCAAGAAGGAAGAGCCCATGCTGTTGCTCGGAGACCCGTCTGCCTCCCTCACACTGCTGTCTCTCTCTTCCATCTCCGAGTGCAACTCCACCCGCTCCCTGCTGCGTTCAGACAGCGACGAGATCGTGGTCTATGAGATGCCTGTCAGCCCAGTGGAGGCCCCGCCCCTGACCCCCTGCACCCACAACCCCTTGGTCAACGTCCGAGTGGAGCGCTTCAAACGCGACCCTAACCAATCCCTGACTCCCACCCATGTCACCCTCACGGCCCCCACGCAGCCCAGTGGTCACCGGCGGACTCCTTCTGATGGGGCCCTCAAGCCAGTGACCCTGGTAGCCAGCAAAAGCCCTTCTAGCAACGGGTTGAGCCCCAGCCCCGGAGCAGGTGAGTCCTGCCCTCCTCCTCTGTTCTCTTTCCTGCCTCTGTGCCTCCCCCAGGAGGAGAGATATTGGAGTGAGCTCCATTCCCCCTCTGACTCAGCTCATCAAAACAGGCTGATCTGGGGTGGAGGAAGTGGCCAGTTTCTGTCTGTCCTCTGTGTCAGGGGGCCTTCCCTGAGGAGCAGAAGAGGACTGGCAGGCGTTAGGAAGGATCAGAGCTTGGACTCCTGTGGATGTTCAGGCCCTGGGTCTTGGAACGCATGGCGCAGTGCTCCTGGCCCCGGGCGCAATGGCCAGTCGGTACGGGAAGGGCAGGGGTCTAGCTCTGCTTGTTCCCAGCAGAGGAGACTGAAGTGACTGGAAGGAATCCTGCCCTGAACCTAGGAGGGGTATTTTGTGCCACGTAGTTGTGCTCTTTCCTGTCATTAGCGCATTAGCATGGGCACACCCGTAAGACAAGCTTCCGCCCATGCCTCATGCCCTTCATCACTCACCCCTTACTCACGGCTGACTGTTCCGAAGCAGAGGTATGTCCCGGTAAATTGCTGTCCTTGTACATAGGCCTGCCATCTCCATGTGACACCTGTGACGCCTGGGCGTGCGTACACCCATCCTGGGTTTTTTCCATCACTGTCCCTTCCTCCCCAGGAGACCTGGGTCTGACTTGGGAACCGCCTCTAATCTAGTAGGAGAGGGGTTGGCCATAACCTTCCAGCAAGAGTTGCCTGTGAATGAGCATTGTGTTTGACCATTCAGCTGTCCCTCCCCTCTTTAGATTTTTTTTTGTTGGTAAACACAAATATGTGACCTCTTTGAAGATAGAGGCCTCTATACCACTCATCTATTTTAAATCTCTGACACCTAGCTCTGTTCCCATCCCATGTTTATAAAAGGGATGAGATGTGAATGAACAGACATTTTCTTAAGTGATGGTGCAGTGAAGATTTTTGGAAAAGGGCCAGAGAGTAAGTATTTCAGGCTTTGTGGGTCACATGGTTTCTGGTGTCACTGCTCCGCGCTGCTGCTGCAGTGGGAAAGGCAGAGGGTGTGGCTGTGGCCAATAAACTGTGTTCATGAACAGGTGGCTGGCCTGTGAGTTGTAGTTTGCCAACATCTGCATTGAATAATTTGATTACAGACATAGCCCGCATATGTCCCATTATCATTATCAGATATAGTGAGTGACCATGACCTTCTGGTTCACTATTGTGTGATATCTCCAGTGCCTCCCAGCACAGGACAGGGCACACAGTAGATGCTTGTGGAATACTTGTTGTTCGTGTTATCCTGAGTGGGCAGGGCTGTGGCAGGGCAGGGATGGAGAAGCGTGTGCCTGGCCTGGAAACAAGCTGCCCTCATCCGATGCCTCTCTCTTTGTCTTTTTGACCAGGAATGTTGAAAACCCCCAGCCCCAGCCGAGACCCCGGTGAATTTCCCCGTCTCCCTGACCCCAATGTCGTCTTTCCCCCAACCCCGAGGCGATGGAACACACAGCAGAACTCGACCTTGGAGAGACCCAAGACCCTGGAGTTTCTGCCTCGGCCCCGGCCCTCTGCCAACCGGCAGCGGCTGGACCCTTGGTGGTTTGTGTCCCCCAGCCATGCCCGCAGCACCTCCCCGGCTAACAGCTCCAGCACAGAGACCCCCAGCAACCTGGACTCCTGCTTGGCCAGCAGCAGCAGCACTGTGGAGGAGCGGCCTGGACTGCCAGCCTTGCTCCCATTCCAAGCAGGGCCGCTGCCCCCTGCCGAGCGGACGCTGCTGGACCTGGATGCAGAGGGCCAGAGTCAGGATAGTACTGTGCCACTGTGTCGAGCTGAACTGAACACACACAGGCCTGCCTCTTATGAGATCCAGCAAGAATTCTGGTCTTAGTGTGAAAAGCGTCAGGGGTGGGCTGGGGGGAGCAGGAAGAGATAGGGGAGCTGGCTGGCACAGCCCTTTCTCAGAGTTGGACCCCCTGGGATCCAGTCTACTTCTTGCACTGAAAATGCACTTTGAAGACGGAAGGGATGGAGGCAGGGCCACTTCAGAGGGTCTCCGGCCCTGCAGACCCATGTCCGCTAGAGGAGCTGTGCCTCTCAGCTCTGGCTGTGTGGGGGAGGGAGGGGTGCATGCACATCCCCCGTCCTCCACAGTCTTCCTCGCCTTCAGGGTGACCCTGCAGCGTCACTCAGCCAAACTGTCTGCTGCTCCCTCCCCTCATCCTCCTGTGTATGCCCAGAGCCAGTCCCAGGGCCCCTCAGCCCTGAGTGCAGCCTTCCCAAACACACCAGTATTGGATGTTCTGTGATTGGTTTCGTTCTTCTGCCACGTTCACACCCGTGAATCAGAGTCTTGTTTGATGCGAGATATGAGTTTTTCTGTGTCCTAAGCCCTTACACGCCAGCTGGAGGACTGAAGGCAAGGTGCCCCAGCGTGGGGCGTGGGAGTTGGTGGACCCCGTACGACCTGCCTGCACTTCTTAGCCGCCCTGCTTATTTATTGGAGCCTACCAGTGAGTGGTAGGGGGGTGGGAGTTAGGGAAAATACAGTTGAGCTGCAGTCAAGAGGGTAACAGAGTCTGTCTGTCCTTGTTCCTTCTGGAAAAACTCAAAGGAGGGAAGAAAGCAGCACCTGTTGACGGCACCCATCTCCCACCTGGGGCCCAGATGTGGTCAGACCAGTTCTGATACAAACATATGCTCATCCCACGATTAAGTTTCTTGGGATGCCAGAGACAAAGTTCCTCTCTCTGTCCCTTTTGTTGTCTGATCTTCATGGGTTCTTTCCTCCCCTTGATCTGTCCTCCAGTCCCTGGAAATAGTGGACTTCGGGTTATGTAATTGGTTGGTAGACATCTCTGTCAGGGGTGGGGGGTCCCAGACCCTGGGATTGGAACTGGGTGGGGGTGTTCCTCAGCCAGGTCATCCATGCTGTAATCCCTTGAAATAAAACGGAGCCGTAAGTAATACCTTCCATAAATGGATGTAGTGAGGCGATGATGTCTATAAGGGGCTTTGTGAGCCACCAACGCACAGTAACCTTCAAGTCCCAACCTGGAGCCTGACCACAGCCTCTGGTCTCTGCGCCCAGGTAGCCCCTTAATGTTAGGCTCTGGACTGCGAGCTGGGTAGAAAGGACAAGAGTGGCCAACCCTGACCTTTCTGGAATTTGTTCCCTTGACTTGAATGTTGAGCTGCTTCTGGAGCTTTCTCATGCGTATCTTGACTATTCTGCCCACTCTGAGACCTCCTGTGTCAAGTGTGAACAGTTGCCTTTGTGGGGAGATAACTACTTGATTGAGAGTAGAGTCCTTAGGTCCCGCTCCTCCCCCCTCAAGACTAAATGTTGCTCCAATGTTTTCTCGTGGAATGTTCCTTGGGAGATACTAGAGGCCAACCTGCTCTCGCTGCCTGAGTGCCAGAATGGGGAGAGCAGGAGGCAGGTCCAAGTGGTAAATACGGTCACTGCTCTCTCTCTCTCTCTCTCTCTTCCTCTCTCTCTCTCTGTGACTATGATAGACGTCCTGCCTTGGCAATTGTAAGGGGTGAGCTTGGTTTTCAAACCATTCCTTGCTTTATGAGCCCAATTGGCACTTTGGTTCAGGGCCCACCTGCTCTTTGGTGGAGAGTCGCTATCGGTTTTGTGACCCATATCTTGTGACCCATTTTGTGTCCCAGGGTCTGCTGTTGCATCTCACCCCTCTCCCTCTGTTTGTTCAGTGAAGCCCACATGTAAGAAAGACATCATTTGGATCCTGTCAGCAGTTCAGCCGGCCAAGTGATCCCTCTTCGTCCTTGGTGGGGAGAGGGGGACACAGGCGGTCGTTCTGCGGCCTTCCCCTGCACGGTCCATCACCCCAGTCGCTAAGCCACTAACACATCTGTAAACATTAAACAGCCCTCTGGTGGGGTACCGCTTATAGCTGAATCCAAACCATGCCGGCTCTGGGCAGTGCGCTGTGGTATGAGAGGCAGGGGTTTTTCCTGCTCATTTTGTACTTGTCATTGTGTTAGGTTGTAGCCATCTTTCTTGGAAGTGGTAGTGTACTGGTGTAGCATAAACTGAATGGCAGCTACTTGCCTTTGAGTGACAGCTTGAACCCAGTTCTTACTCCTCCATCCAGGGGGAGACGGGAAGGCCGGGTCTCTGCTAAGGGAAGAATTGGACCTGCCAGAGCAGCAGAGTTATTCGGAAAACTCTTCGGTGAGTTCCCACGCAGGTGGAGGAGTTACCGTCTCTCTCTGATGGGCCCCCGCCCACCACACTCTCCCTGTGGGGCAAGACTGGGATAAGGATCCTGTATAGTAACAGGTTTGAGCTGCTTTCCGTCCACTCAGGTTCCCTTGGTCATGGTCAGGATCAGGCCTTGAACCTGGGGCTCAGGCCTCTGCAGTGGCAAGAGTGGCCTCCCTTTTCCCTGTTCTTCACTTTCCTCTGAGACTTCCTTGCTCTTGGCAGGTGCTTGCTACGTGGGAGATGGTGATAGGAGACAGATCCTGCCCTCTGCCCCTTCTCCTTGGATCTGTGGGCTCTTTCCTCTGATGCTGAACAGGATTATCCTTTGTTTACAGCCTTGGGTGTCCAGATCACTTCCGGGGCTGAATAGATGTCCCAGATATCTTGTATGTTACTTCTAAGAGGCTTTGATGGGTGCTCTTAACTTTGCATCCTTCAGTATCCCAAGGGTCTGGTAGTGGTGGTGGTGATCGTGATATGGTGGTGATGATATCTTACATTCTCATGACTTGGAATAACGCTAACCCTTCCTCCCGGCCTCTACAAAATTACATCATTTTCCTTCTACATTAGATGTCCTTGCTGACAGAGAAGGGGAAATGCTTAAAGACAAAGATCCAGGTGAAGAGAAATTAAAAAGCTGCTTGGACTGATGGCTGAGTCGGGCACCAGGCTGTGAGACCTGAGCGAGTTGGCTCTGCTCCCTGTTCTGCTTTTGCTGTCTGACCTCGGGCTTGTCTCTTCGCCCGTCTCAGATTCCCTTCCTGTAAAAGCTGCTTCCCTCACAAGGGCACCAAGAGTAAGTGTCAGCAGGTCGCTGAGGCTTGCGGCTGCGGCTCCGGCTCCAGCAGGCGTGACTAGGACAAACTGCCCAAGCTGACAGTGTGATTCTCACCCCCTTTGTTTCTAGAGGACTCACCTGCTGTGTCTTCGTTTGCCTTCTAGAAAAGGAGTGATTGGGAGTTGGCTTGGCATGATTCATAGGGACTGTGGTCAGGCATGTGCTCTTCTGCATGTATGTAGCACCTGATGTTTACGAGCAGCCTTCCAAATCCCCCCACTTGTCAGGCGGTCATCCCCGTCCTACAGAGCAGCAAGTGGTTGGAGCAGCACCAGAACGACAGTTTGGGGTCCCTGATTTCTTGGAGGCATTCCCAGAGTCTTATTTCTCTACAGACTGGAATCCACCCAGTTCCTGGAAGAATCTTTGGGAAGGGATCTGCTGGCCCTTGGGATATGGGTCATGGTATGGACGTCCTCACAAAGCCCTTATCCCTCAGGCCACGCTTGCTCAGGGACATGGTGAGACACCCCAAGGGCAGTTAGGCCTGACCTTGTCAACACTCTTGCTCTACAATCCCCATGGTGGGACCTCAGCCGCTCATCCCCGACAAGGAGGGAGACACCTCCTGAGTAAAAGCGAACTCTTCAAGCTCACTTTTAACAAAACACAGAGCAGCGGGTACTGAAACTGGGTGGCTGTGAATGGTGTGCGTCAGGGGTGAGGTGTCCGTGTGGCAGGCCCCTCTGAATGCAGCACCTGACCTTTTCCTTTCATTAAGCCTGTGCCTTTGACTCAGGAATGTGCTGATCTGAGCTGCCCACATACTAGCCGTGTGACGTTGCAAATGTCTCTCCCTGTCTGTGGACCTCAGCCCAACCGTGAACTGAGGACGCTGCTCCCTTCCCTACAAGAAGCATGAAGTCCTTCTAACTTTAAAATGTGTGGGCCTGGAGCTCCTGGGCCAGCCTTGTCTTGCTAGATCACTTCTCTCTGTGGAGGAAAATCATGTATATGTGTGGGGTGGGGCAAGGGGTTGTAGGTAGAAACCACTAGGAAAAAAGCAGTTTCACATGGTTCAACCTACTAGACCACGGGCCTCTCCTCAGCTTCAGGCCTGAGAAGGGTTTCCTGTTCAGCCAGTTTTGTAGGAACACATTCCCAGATGCACCCGTCTCCCTTCAGACAAACCATTGTTTCCTTAGATCAGGAATTCAAATTAATAAGGATCCACCTCAGAAAGGAAAACCCACTGCGGCTTCTGGGGGGTTCTCAGCCCCTGCTTTTTCCTGGCCTGGCTGCCTGCGCACTCCCCACCTCAGGCGCCGGAGTTGAACGGGCAGGAGGCAGAAGCTGGAGTCCTGGCCGATTTAGGCTAATTAACAGGGCTTAGGTGCCCCATTAACCTGACCCAGCCCTGGGCTTCCGGTTGGCTGTGCAGGCCAGGTGAGCATCTTCTAGACCTCTCAGACTGTTGACTGAGTATTTTCCATTTGTCTGGATGAGACACTGACTATCCCCACCCTCTCCTTTGTCCATGTCCAGCGTTGGGCCCTGGAAGCACCCTGGCCTCGCTGGGCTTCTGAGGGAGCCCTGGCATTCGTTCTTCCAAAGGTTGGGCTCGCGTCCTTAACGTAGAGCTGGTAGGACTGGTCCTTCCTGATTCTTGCTGTCTGCGGTTCCCTGCACCCCTGTCGCAGCCTTGCTTCGGGCCTTCAGTTCCCAGCTGCAGCTAGAAGCAGAGAAGGGCCCAGAGCCAGGTTTTTTTCCATGCCTCTCGAGGTTTCAGAAACACCCACCTTTCTCCTGATTGGTCTGACCCACCCTCCCTACAGACACCCACAACCTAGTTTTAACTAGATCGATTGGCAGGCAGGGACCTGACAACTAGATGGGCGTCTCAGGACGGGACACTGGAAACAATTCCAGAGGCCAGATGGGTTTTCCCGAGGAGCCCACGGGAGTGCCAGCCCCGCCTCGACGTTGTTGCTTGTCTGCACTTACTGGAGGGCAAGACCTCGCTGCAGAAGTAATGTGTTGCTCGTGTTCCCGAACTTCACACTCAGATACCTGCGTTGACAGATCCTGACTCTAGAATTTCAAATTCTAATATTGTGTTCAAAGTGGATGCTTTCATTAATTTTCATTTTTTAGAATACTGCATTGAAGTATGATTCCTCTTGATGACTGTGTCTCTTTGGTGCCCCCTTCAATTTGTCATCTGAGGCGAGCCCTTCACCCACCTCACCCTAGCCTGGGTCCTGCCTCCCACCTGGCTCTGGGCTGGTGCACAGGCAGAATTGGGGAGCAGGTCTTAGGTGTTTTGTCTGATTGCTCTTGCCCACAAGTCCCAAGTGAGGGGTCATTTTCTCGGAGTGTTTGCATTTAAACAGGAATGTGTCAGTTTACAACAGTGAAGCACCTCAGGACCGTTTTCACCTTTGGACCTGTAATTGGGGTGACTTTTCCTTGAAGTTCTCTAGCTTCCTTTCAGCCTCCTTGAAGCCACTTAGAGGAGTGTGTGCGTGGTTTAGGGTTAGGGTGAGAAGTAAGTGACCGTATTAGAGAGGACCATTTTGTTCTCATCTTAAGCTTCTTTGGGACATCTCTGAACTCCCGGAGGTGTGCGTCCATTGTGCCCGTCCTCCCTCCCAGGTTGCAGAGAGGACTGCAGTGGCTGGGGGCTGTTCCACGCACTGTGCCTGGCCCTGCACCTGGCCCTGCGGGTCTCCGTGCTCTCAGCCATCATGTCCCTTTCACTGCCATCACCCTGGTCTCATCTTTGTTCCTCTTGTCCTTCATCTCTGCTTCCAGCCCCGGGGGCCATGCTGGCTGTGGCTCTTCGTCGCTGTCAGAGTGAGGCACGGGTTTATCTGGACCTGGGTGTGTGGACTAGTGAGAAATTGTAAGAAACCATTCCATTTCCTCTGTGTGGAAGGTGCTGTCCTAGAGGGGCAGAGGTTTGTTATTGTTAATAATAATAATAACCCTAGAGGCTTATTATAGTTATTAATTTCTACTATTTTGATTCAACAACAATCCTGGGAGGGAACATATGACCCCCATCTGAAATGTGGAAGCCGAGGCTCAGATAATGAGAAAACATGCCCAAGGCCACACAGCTGGGAAGCAACATTACTGATCTGCTTGGCCCCGAGCTCTTATTTTCCTCTGAGCACATTGGGGGTCACTGTTTAGAAGCCCCAGGATAAAATCAGCCTGGCCTGGGCCCACCTAAGCTCACAGATGGCTCTTTGTCCAAGAAGCAGCGTGTTCCGTGGCTAACCCACCTGTCCTCGTCACTGGATTTACCCGGCACACTAGCAACTCCCCACACTTGGCCGACGTCCTCCCTGCTCCCGGCTGCTTTCTCTGCCACCGTTTCCGTGACTGTTCAGGGATTGGTTCCACACAGGGACTGAACATATCAGTTCCGCAGCTCCTCTCCCAGCTCCCCCGAAAGCCCTTGGGCCCTGCTCCTCCGTGTCCAGCCGCAGCGGCCTCGTTACTACTCCGCCTCAGCTGCCACCCACATCCCTCCAAGTCTTTTGAATTTGGAAGCCTTATTGCAGCTCCTTGGGAACTTGAAGTCAGGCTTTTGCCTTTTTGTTGTGTTGAAGACCCATGTGCCCTTTGTACCCAGTTGTCGCAAAGAAGGGAGTTGCTGCGCTCGCCAACTTTCTCCTCGTCACCCATCCACACATGCTCACGTGCTCACACAAAAATTTAGTCTATGATAAAAAAGGGGTTGGAGATGCGTTTTATCTAGTTCACAAAAAAAGCTTTCTTGGGGGTTTTCCTGTCTGTTCGAGCCGTTGAGTCTCGGGAACACGGAAGTTCACACACGTGTTCATTCTGTTCTGTAATCAGCCCCCACGTTTCATCCCTCGGTCTTTCCTGCTCCAGTGTCCTGTCCACGTGTCCTTGAATTCCCATTTTGCTTTGGGATATAAGTTATTGTAGTTTGTCAACAATATTTAAAAATAGAAGTCCTGAAGGAGAGTTTTCAGGTTCTTTGGCTTTTTCTTTTCCGAGGTACTGTAAACTGTTGGCGAGGGACGCCAAGCAGGCTTGGTCCGATGGCTAAACCTCTTCTCGTGTTACAGTGTGACGCTGGTCCCAGCCTGGTCTCGCCACCAGAGCACACACAAACTTGAATAAAACCGTTACAACAATGACTTCCGGTCCACTGCAGTGCTTTATAAACTTGTCCTTTCCCCTCTTTTCTTTTTAATTAAATTAGATGTCCAAGGACCTGGCTGTTTCTGGGGAATTTCTTTATGTAGGAAAAAAATAACCAGAGAGAGGGGTATGGTGCAGAGCAGAGGTGGGAGAGGAGCCTCGGAAGGCCCCAGCACCCTCACCGGGATCACGGTGGCCTCCTGCAGCTGAACGACACCCGTCCAGAGGCCCCAGTCTCTTTGCCCAGCTGGCTTTGGCACACCTCATGGGCTCTGGCTTCAGAGCCCCTGACGAACGTGTGTTGTCTCCTGCTCTCTGTCATTTTCCACCCGGACATTGCTGGTGACATTGCGAAGGGGGGTGAGAATGCAAACACAGATGGAGTTTTATCCTTGTAGACCAGGCTTGTTGGCTGTGGGTCACGGATTCCTTGTGCTCTTGACACTCCTAATGGCACTTGTTAGCTGTGTGACCTGGGGCAAGACACTTCACTTCTCTGGGCCACTTCTACAGCAGGCTGATCATAATACAGTGTTGTGCCCTTACCTTGAACGGTTGTGTGTTGGGTGGGGGTGAGGGTAAAAGCAGATGGGAAGAATCTGGTTTGGGGCCATTCTGTGCCTCTTTAGTGCCCTATTTCATCATTTAGGTGCAGGTGGGAAAACGGCTTTTGTTCTTCTGTATCGACACTGTCATGCCCTAATGCCCTGACCTTTCATTTCCCTCTGTGCTTGTCCTCTGCAACCCCCGGGGAGGGGTGACAGTGAGGTGGGGTTCTCTGCCGGATGCTTAGATTGTGAACAGAAAGGTGACATATTGCTGAATTTCAAGGTAGGTTTGTCCAGGGCCCACATGTGCTTTTTGAGGAAGATTGGGTGATGGTGATAGATTGGCCAAACTCCTTGCTGAGAAAGATGAAAGGTGCCCTGTGCTGTGCGCATGTCCCGTATATAAGTTGTTCCAAGTTTCTGGGGAGCAGTGTGGTCACGTGGCATTAGCTTTATAACACGGGCCCAGAAATTCCATTCACTCGTGAAAACCAGATACAGTGTGCTAGGACCTGACCTACATTATCCCATTTGCAACATCTTAACATTCTTTTTTTAAGACTTTATTCATTTATCTTTAGAGGGGAAGAGAAGGAGAGAGGGAGAGAAATATCGATGTATGGTTGCCTCTCATGTGTCCCCTGCTGGGAACTGGCCTGCAACCCAGGCATGTGCCCTGACTGGCAATCAAACCACGATCCTTTGGTTCACAGGCCCACGCTCAATACACTGAGCTGCACCAGCCAGGGCTATAACATCTTAACATTCTTAAGAGTAGATCTCATTAGTATTTCTGTTTCGTATGGAAGAAAATGAGGCTAAGAGTGGAGTGACATGCCCAGGGCCACACTGTCACATAGTGAAGCTGGGACTTGTCTGATTGTAGCACGTGCGCTTGCATCGTCTAAATGAGTCAGACACGGACAAAGACGCATTTACAGGTCATCCCAGCGTTGTTTACAGGAGGGCTCAAGTGAGTACAGGTGACCCCAACAAGATTTTTGGGGGCTTCCTCCACCTTCTTCTTTACTCCACCAAGAATCTGGTCAATTAGAGCATGAAGTCTCTTTACAAGTTAGAAACCGTGATACACCAGTGATTTTCCACCAGTGATCTTCCACCAGTGTGCCACAGTACAGCGGCAAGAGGCACAACGGTGAGCCGAGAGGATTTCTAAAACATGAAGTACCTGACAGTCTCGTCAGGGGCACTGACCTCTTTTCCCTGAGATCATCGAATTAAAAAAAAAGACAATAGCCACCACAACTATAGCCATCCAGCATGGATGAATCAAAATTATGCCTATTTTTCCATCAGGTAGGCAAAAAAGTATATCTTTTGGCGTGCTGCAGCATTTTAGTAATTAGTTTCTGTGGGCCCTGAGATGGACAAGGTTGAGAATGGCGGGCCTAAATGCCTAGCTCCAGCGGCTGCGTACACTCTGTTTCTTTGCAGGGCATGTGTTGTGTTCTAGGGCCAGGTGCCAGCTGGACCCTGGAGAGTCGCCGCTGGTTCAGATGGAGCCCGGTTCTCGGAGACCCCGTGGTGTGATGGGAGAGATGGAAACATAAGGAAATTCGTTTAACATAAGGTGGTCAGTGCCGTGGTGGTGCCAGGCGAGCACCGCGGCCTGGTGTGGCCTGAACTGGAGATCCGCAGGCTTCGTGGAGGGCGCACCACCTGGCCTGAGTCCCACAGGACTGAGAGGGGCGCATGGGCCCTCAGAGCAAGCAGCACGCTCTGTCTCTCTTTTGGAAGTGACTACAGTGATCCCTCACCTATCACGGGACTTATGTTCCAGAGACCCCCCGTGGTAGGTGAAAATCCTCGAAGTGGCAGCGTTACATTTATTTTATTGTTTATACATATTTAAGGCTTTATAAACCCTTCCCACACTCCTATAAACCTTTCCCACTCTCTTATTAACCTTTCCCACACTCTTATAAACACTTCATATGCTCTCAAACACTTTCTACACTCTTAAACCTACGTAATTCTCCCAACATATAAAATTCTGTGTGGGTGCTCACCAGCAAAGTCTGCAGTTGTCCCTCACTGTATCCAGGTTCACTTATTGCGGCTTCACTGTATCACAGGCTTTAAAAACCCATGATACAGCGAAGCTGCAGTAAGTGAACCACGATATAGCGAGGGACAACTGTACTTGTGGTACCTCGGGCTAGGTTCCTGTTTCTGACTTTGTGATGTGACCGTATATGGTGTTATGTAGCCAAAAACATTAGATGATTCGAGAATAATTACGGAAATAGGGAAATGTTCTTAAGTTAAAAGGTGGGATAACAAAAACTTGAAAAATAATGCTATTCTAATTATATAGAGAAAATATATTTCCTTTTCTTTCCAATTTTGAAAAATATACATTTGCCCTGGCTGAGTGGTTCGGTTGGTTGGAGCATCATCACGATGCACCAAGGTTGTGGGTTCAATTCCCAGTCAGGCCACATACCAGGGTCAAGCAATTGAATGCATAAATAAGTAGAACAACAAATTGCTCGCTCTCTCTCTCTCTCTCCCTCTCTCCCTTCCTCTCCATCTCCTTCTCTCTCTCTCAAAATCAATGAAAAAAATACGTAAATACACTTGACAGGCATAAAGAAGAAGAGAGTAATTGTTATTGTTATGGAATAGTATTATGGATGATCTAAATTTTTTTGCTTTTGGAATTTTCAAGCCTTTATAAAGAATACCCATATGTTACTTTTACCTTTGACAAAACAAAGGTGAATGCAGTCATTTGGGGTTACTTCCCAATGATACCAGGTTCCTCTGCAGATATTCCAGCAGCCCAGGCCACTGATTCTGAGGGTGCCCCTGCCCCGGGCAGTATAGAAAGAGACTGCTGAAGCCCTGCTCTTAGGGGGCAGCACTGGGGCCTGGTCCAGGTCCAGCTTCCAGTCCTACTGGAATCTCTCCCTTCCTCCCGGCAGATAGATGCTGCTGGAATGGTGAGTCACCTGCAGAATGCAAGCAGAAACTAGTGAGGGCACAGGAGCAGAGAAGTTCTACGAGAGGAAGTACCGAGCAGGTCTCCTAGAGGGCACACACACACACACACACACACACACACTCCTCTGAGCTGGGCTGGGACTACGCAGGCACACCACACCCTGTTTGCTTCACTGTGGAATGTGCTCCATGTAGGCCAGGACTGCTGTGCTAATCCTCCGAGCCCTCCGGTCCCCACCCAACCTAGTCCAACCAGCTCAGGTTGGAGAGTGTGTTTTGGTTCACAGAAGTGGGGTGGTGGCCAAGGGTGGGCCTCTGCTGCTCTGCCCCGCCCCTTCTCTCAGACACTGGTCACGCTGCAGCGGCCCAATCAGGAGGGCCTCGCGTGCAGGCTCAGTGGCAGGCCCTGGAGACTTCTTTGTGATAAGGGGGAAAAAGGAGGGTTGAGGTAGATTAGCCCTTCATGGAACACAGGTCTGTTCCTGTTATGCCAGTGTCTGAAGGAAAAGACCTGCTTCCTTTAGCCTGGCCTCAAGGGCCCATTGTGCTCAGGTCCCTTCCCCAGCTCCTGCCACAGTTTCCCTGCCCTTCCCTCCCATAAGACTGCACACTTACTTCCCAGCTTCCTGTAAGCCTCGATCTTTCTGGAACAGAGGCCTCCTGCTTCAGAGACTTTTTTTTTTTTTATGAACAGACACTCTGCTACCTACCCAGGTTCCTAAACTGACTCTAACCCGATTAAGGGGTTGGCAGATTAAGTGGTTGGTTGAATTGGGGTAGGAGGAGGCAAAGGAGAAGTAGGCAGAGGAAAGAGGGAAAGGGAAGAGAGGCAGAGAGACTCGGGTTCTGCCCTCTGGAGGGTCACAGGGGCCCTGGTGAGGTGAACCTCCCCGGGAGGCACGGGAGCAGTTGATCGTGCACAGAGGCACCCCTGCAAATACTGGCTGGGGAAGGCTGGCTGGTCAGACGCACAGACTCCCATCGTGTCCGTGCTTTACCCAACCTGAAGAGAAAAGAATCATCCCTCTGATAAATACTTCTGGAGGGCCTGCTCGGGTCCGGGATGCATACACATCTCGGGCAAATTCCACTTCTTTCATGGCTGGGCAGGTCAGTGAGTGATGCCTTGTTCTAACAGTGAGGTGGGGTGGGGGACAGTGGCGAATGGAGAGGCATGCCCCATCCAGAGGCAAGTGCTTAAAAATGCGTAAAAATGTGATAAGGCATAAATCACCCCCTCCCTCATTTAAAAATGCTGGAGAGCGATCAAGACAGAAAATGACTACTGCCTTTTTGAAGTTTACCATCTAGTGGGGAGAATCAGGTAAGGCAACAGTCAAAGGAGGCACCAGAAACTATATGTGTGCATGTATGTAGCTACATCTGTAACCGGCAGGTGACTGACTTGTGGGCATTACAGCACCATTTATATCTACAAATTGGTAGAAAGGGGGAAGGAGAGGGAGAGGGGGAGAGAGAGA